ATCAATGCTCACAGACCAGGCTGAGGACTGTGTGCTGTGTACACTGACACCAAGTTTATTGTCTCTAACAGTAGTGGCTAATGGGTTCCTTTATTTGTAGCCAGCACATGGCCCAATGGCCATATAACAGGGGAGATCCTTAGCTGTGCTGAATGGCTTTTCTCAGTCCACACTTGATTTGCTTTATGTCCACAAACCCCAACCTTATTCCTCAAACCCAAGTAAACCCTGAAAGAGCATGGGGTTGAAGAACTCTGGAGGAGTGATGTGGACGAGAAAGAAAAAGATCACCCTGAAGAGAACCCACCTGATACCTCCCTAATGTAAATTGTGTTCCAATCACACAAATAGAAATTTCCTGAATCAATACATTAGATTTCAAATTCAGCTGAAGTTGATTTGAGTATTAATCATTGGTACCATATATATGTGAGAACTGGACAATGAAAAAGGAAGATCAAACAAAAACTGATGGTGTTAGCTAAGAATACTGAATATACCCTGGAGTGCTAGCAGAAGAAATGAATCTGTGTTGGAAGAGGTGCAGCCACAGTGCTCCTTAGAAGTGAGGATGGCTTGAATTCATCTCAGTGTTTGGACATGATATCATGAAGGACATAATGCTTCTGTGAAGCAGAAGATCAGTGAAAAAGAGGAAAACCCTCAATGAGATGGATTGACACAGTGGCTATAACGATGGGCTCAAGCTTTACAATGGTTGTGAGGATGGTGTAGAACTGGGCAGTGTTTTGTTCTGTTGTACAAGGGGTTGTTAGCAGTCAGAACTGACTCTATGGAAGCTAACAATAACAACAAAACCATAAATAAGCACTTGATCAGTAAAGCATTGCATTCACACTTATGCTTTGTGTTGGCAAAGTTTATGGCTCAAGAAAAGTACAAACAAAATTATTTCAAACTTAGGGGCAATTGCCTGTTCTTCTGAAGATACTTATGTGACTTGTACTGTGAAGACAGGGAACTGGAAAAGGAATCTCTGTTCTTTAGCTTTTCAGAGTATGATACACCCTGAGACTATATCTACTGGTCTATTCTTGATATCTTGGATCTCGTTTAGAAGTTTCTTGCTCTCTTTTTCAAATCCCTCCAAAAGAAGTAGTTTCTGTTCCTAAAAAGAGAAAGTGATGACTTAAACTCATACAATATAAAATGTATCCCATAAATAATAAATCCATTTCCCTTTCAGAGGTTACATTAATCACTCAATAGCTTTTGAAACTCATTCTCGGAAATCTTGCCTCCCTTAATTTCCATGATATCACTCTGTCCTGAGTCTTTTATCTCTGTCATTAATTTTTTTTAAAAGTTTTTTTTGTTGTTAATTGAGTGATAGTTTACCTGGGAGAACATTGATTTCACACTCATTGTTTCATTGCAATGACTACAGTCTCCTCCATGCTTCATCATTCAACAGTATTTGCTTCTATTCCCTCTGGTTTTTGTTTTGTTTTTGTTTTTGTATGTGTGTGTGTGTTTGTGAGGGATGTACACAAAAACATTCAGGAATATATAATAATTTTAACAACCAAAGGGCACATTCTGTAAGCCTGCCTCCTGGCCACCAGCACATAGTCTTTCTATTTCCATGAATCTAGAGTCGTCAGCTGCTGCCGCTATCCATGTGCTCATCTCTGCCTCTATTTCTGATGTCACTGATTCTCTGATAGGGTTCCACATTATACTCATGCTCTTCTCCCTTGATGGTTCTAGGGTCCTCTGTTCCTGCACTTAAGATTAACTACTCCTTCCTTTTTGTTACAAAACTTCTACATTTACAGTTGTGACAGCTGTATTTGGCCATGATAAAAATTGCTCACTATGAATCATAATAATCTTATCCCCATCTCCTTTCACCCGACCCATGTAGACAAGATGAAAACTATTCACTGGGGATTCTACCTTTCCATGCAATCTGAAACTAAACTCCCTCTTGAAATTTTGTAAGCCAGTCGATTCGTGCCTTTATAGTTCCCCTCCATTTTAGGTAACCAATGTCTAAGTTGTCCATCCCTCTTAACTCTGTAAACAGAGAGGATAGGTCTGCCATTAACTTTTATGGTCATTTTAGTCTAACTTTAGAAATTTCTTGTGTTATACTTTTTTGAAATATTGGTGCCCTGGAATTATCTTCTTGCGCTTCTTCACCCATATTTGGTGCAAACACTGGAGAATTATCACAGTTTTGCCCCACCCTTTTTTGGTCATTTTGCTTTAACTATCATCTATATAGTGTAAAATTTAGGAAGGCAAGAAGAATGGATGAAATCCAAAGGAAAGGTTACTGCATGGTTCTCAGAATTGGAGGAAATGTCTAGTCAAAGAATTAGGTAAAATTACCAGTTTTGGAGGTAGAAGTAACAGAAAGGTGTTTATGAGGCCCTGGTCTGCACTGACAATTCAGAACTGACATCAGACTCAACAGAAGCAGAGTAGGATCTGTAGACAAAGAATTTACTGGCAAACTGAGCACTTAACCAGTGTTGGTAAGTAGTTACATCATTAGGGTTCGTTCTTCTTGTTAGGCAATGTATGGAGATAAAGTCCTGCCATGTATAGCAGACACAAAATTACTATGGACACCCCTCATTAGGAAAGATAGGCAAATATTTTTAAAGGGGATATGACCCAGAAAAGTTACTTGTCTTTTGTAAAATTACAATTTTCTCACTTGAAAAATGAGACTATAATAGTTCCTGTCAGTTATATGAGATATTAATTACAGAATACAAGTAAAATATTTTGTTCAGTGCCTCACAAGAGCCACAGTTTATTAGTGATACCCTGGTGTGACTGTTTCTTAGGAACTGGATTGCTAACCATGAGGCTGAAGGTTCAAATCTGCCAACCACTCCATGATAGAAAGGTGAGGCTGTCTGCTCCCATAAAGATTTAAAGGAAAATCTATGTAGGACCATGAGTCAGGATCAACTCAATGGCAGTGGGAATGGTCAGTGGGTTTATCAGTGGTAACAAAGGGATTTTATCCCAAAAATGCTAGGAGAAGTTTTTGTATTAGATAACCAGAGACCAGATGAACATGCACATGCATGCAGTGTGAGAAAAGATCCTATATTGTTAGGGCTTCTCAGTATTGATTTGAGTGGTATGAAGAGGTTTTAAGAACAGAAAAGGGCATGGATAGAAACACAAAGGAAATGCAAAGTGTAGGACTCATAGACTGGAAAGATCTTTGTATGGGTGTCATGTTCACTCCTCCACTATGTTTGATTCAGTATAATGGAAGAGAAAATTTAGATGACACAATTGAATACCTGAAGTTTCAGAGCAAGGGTCTTCTCTTGTTCTGCCATTAGCTGAACCCTATCACTTTGCATCTTCTCTGTCAATTGTCTCACATGTTCCTGATAGCTCTTTTCTTTCTGTTCCATCATTAACTCATTCTTCTTTTGGAGTTCCTCTAGCATTTTGTTTGCAGCCTCTGCAGATTCTGCTTTTACACGTTCCACTGAGGGGAGAAAAGGGGTAGAAAAGTATCAAGAATCAATTGTTATGTCTTTCATCCTTTTTTTTTTTTTTTTTATGACATAGAAAATTTCTCATGGAAATTTATGGCATGGTTAATAAGAAGATAGATGACCATACATATGGGAGGAGAAAAAAATCATATAACATTAAGAATTATACTTGTTATTCTGTCTCTAGAAGTCCCTAGGTGGCCCAAGTGGTTAAACACTTGATTGCCAGCTGAAAGGTTGGGGTTTCAAATCCACTAGTTGTTCCTTGGGAGATAGGTCTGGTGATCTGCTTTGTAAAGGTCACAGCCTTGAAAACCATATGGAATAGTTCTCTGCACACATGTGGTCATCATGAGTTGCATCTGACTCTATGACAAATGGTAAGAACAATATTTCGTTATACTGATGATTCCAGGTGTCCAACACAGGTAACCTTAACATATCTGGGGCTTTCCATCTACTTAATCTACCTAGAATGTTTTCAGTTTGTTCTCACCTTCAATTTCTTTCTCCTTTTCTGTGAGTGACTGATCAGTCTGTAGAAGTGCATCAGCCACATCTTCTTTGGATTCCAAGTACTTCATCAGTGTATCTTCTGCCTAGTGCAACAGAGGAACTTAGAATGAGGACATGGAGCCTTTGAATAAATGTAAATGTCTGTAATAGTTCTGTTATTCATTTTAAACTTATGTTTGAAATTGGATAGAACTTCAACCTTAATGTTGGAAACTCAACCCTGGAACTCCTTCTAACCTACTCCTTTTCTAATCACACCAATTTTAGAAATTGGTTAATTCTCTTCTCCCAACTGAATGGGTTAAAAACCTGACAGTTATATTGATATGTTTGTTCTCACATATCCCACAAATAATCATGAGCCAATCCTGCTGGCTTAAGCTTTAAAATATAACCAGTACCATCACTTGTCATCCACTGTACATAAGGCCTTACTACTCTAAGATATCATCATTTCTTTCCTGGTTAGTTCCATTAGCTTCTGTGCTTCCTTCCACTCTTGTTCCCCTACAGTCCCTTCTACACAGAACACCCAGAGTTGTTCTACATTATTGTAAGTCTGCCACATCACTCTTATGCCCCAAACCCTTACAGATTTGTACATCATTCCATTTAAAAGTAAGCTTCTTCCAATAGCCTCAAGGTACTTCCCTGTCTAGCCTCTGGCTCCTAATCACTGCTCTGAACCTATCTCCTGTCACATTAGCTCTCTGGCTCTTTTAGAATATAAGCTTTTTTTTTTTGCTAGACATTTCCTTTACTGTTCCCTTTGTCTGAAAGTTTGTTATCCTAGATATTTACTTGACTTACTCACTGTATAACTTCTATGGAGATTGTGCGGATACATTGGCCCATCAGGGATGCCTTTTCTGGGAAATTACAAATTAAAATAACAACACACTTTCTTGCTTTTTTATATCCTTATTCTACTCCATTCCTTTTTTGAGTGCTGTTTATTACTATGACAATGATGGCTAGAGTTCTTCCTTTATGTCTGAATTCTCCTTATTTAACAGGATTATGATTTTTGTTTCATTGGACACAGTGCTGAAAGATACACTGCATTTGCTGTAGCTAGAGTTCTCAATTAATTAAAATATGGTCAGTGACATGTAAGGAAAGGCTTATATGTTACATTTTGGGAATCTCCTTTAAGTGAGTTTACTCACAAGCCTTCTACTCTTCTGCCTTCATCTCTTTGCATTTGTAATGTGCACTCAATGGCTGAAACTTTGGCAGCCATCTTGTACTATAATGTGCCCTTGAATTGGAGGGACTGTCCTGGGACCAAGATGATTGTAGGGTTGTCATATCAACCCTGGACTCTCTCTTCCTGACTGATTATATAAATGAAAGAAAGAAACATCTGTCTTTTTATGTTGTTGTTGTTGTTGTTAAGTGCCGTTGAGTCGGTTCCGACCCATAGCGACCCTGTATAGTGTTTCCGAGGCTGTAAATCTTTACAGGAGCAGTACGCCTCATCTTTCTCCTGTGGAGCGGCTGGTAGTTTCAAACTGCTGGCCTTAAGGTTCGCTGTCTTTTTATGGGTACTGCTATTTTTTTTATATGCTAAAAAATGTGTATAGATTTCCAAACCTATTTCTGAATACACCAGTCTAAAAAAATAATTAAGCTCACAGATTCTGAACTGACTACCTGGGTTTGAATTCCAGCTGCCATTGATTACCTGTGAGTTCTTGGGTGAGTCTTTGTGTTTCTCTGTGTCTCAATTGTCTTATAAAATGTGGATACTAAATATATGAAGTACATAAATGTTAGTATAAGGGATAACTTTTAAGTTAATAAGTGAACTACATAATTATTTTGTAGCCTAGTTCCTAGCATACAGTAAGCTCTATGTATATATTAATTAATATTAGTATTTTATCTGTCAGTCATTTTTCTTTTATTGCCTGTGTCTGCTTGAGAGAATTCAGCTTGTTCTTTTTTTTTCACTGCTGTATCCCCATCAATTTGAAAATTGCCCAGATACAGGCATGCCTGAATAAGGAATTGCTATAAATGAATGCCATAGCCTTTTGAGTGTTCAATCTGTGTTTCTAAGGAGGAAGCCCCTATCTGGCCCAAGAAAGGCTCTCTTATTGGATGAATCTGTGAATAAAACAAAGGCAAAAACATTTCATAACAATCACAATGCCATTTTACTTGTTCAATCTGATGTTTGAAAGAGTCTCCTCAACATCTTCCCAGAAGCAATACCCACTAGGATATTTACCTGTATCCCCTTTCTGGGCACCTCATAGTACTTTTTCACCAACTCCTGTTTCTTCTGAATAAAGAGACGATAACCTCCTGGTTTGGAAAATATTCCCTGCTTCACATCTTCTTCAAGAGGACTAAAAATGTCCTGAAGTAAAGTCTCACAACATTCTTTGGATGCTTTTGCATTCTGTTTACAGTAATCATCTCGCTTTGCTTGTAACTGGTCCTGTGAGGTGATAAAGTAACAAGATGACACAATAAGTAATGAGGAAGATGTTGACCCCACACAAACCTTTTAGAAATGTTTCTCTGGCAAAGATTGTTGTACCAAAATAGGTCCAGATCCCTAACCTTGTCATGAGAAACAAGGAAGAGCCCTAAGAAGTGTAATTAGAGTGAAAAATCTATCTACTGTCTGTGTGATTTCTTGAAGCTTCTCTACTCTAGCTTTCCTGCTTTAGACTGATTCTCAAACAGAGACGCTATTTCATGTGAAATGTATGTCTTTTTCAAGTCTCCAATTTCATTACTAGTTCACTATACAAACACTGGAATCAGACAGGCTTGTATGAAACTCCTGGATTAATGACTGTGATTTTTGTGACAATCAACATTTGTGAATTAAGACTTTCCTGTCTGTAAAACAGTGAGTCCTGGTGGGATAATTGTAGTATCTATCTCATATATTTCTGTGTGAGTCACAACTAGTGGTGCAAAGTATTAAGCCCAGTTCCTTTTCTATTAGTGTTCATTAAAAGCTAGCTATTCAGTACATTTTTAAATAAGGGAATATATATAAAATGTATTGAATATATGTGTGTGTGTGTGTGTGTGTGTGTGTGTGTGTGTGTGTGTGTCACTGTGGGTAATGCACTGTATGCAAGGTTGGTTTGAACTGAAAGTTCGGTGGTTCAAATTCACCAGCCACTCTTCAGATACTCTATGTTGTTGTTGTTGTTGTTAAGTGCCTTCGAGTCGGTTCCGACCCATAGCGACCCTGTACAGGGTTTCCGAGGGTGTAAATCCTTACGGGAG